ACCGCAAGGGGGGCCCTTGCCAGAGCACCGCGGTTGGAGAATGAACGGTGGGCAAAATGTAAGCGGCAAAGGGCTGAGAATAGTCAAGACTAGTAAGGGCACACTTGGTGATTTCATTTTGCAACTCCTGGAGCGCTTGCTCTGCAGCAGGTGTAAGCTTCCTGGGTGATGAGGGGTCACTGTCCCTGCTGAGGATCTCAAACAGGGGCTGACGCTGTCCAGTCGTGATTTTAAGATAAGGTCTAATCCAATTAATGTCTCCAAATAGTTTTTGAAAATCATTGAGGGTTCTAAGGCTGTCTTTTCTCAGCTGTAGTTTTTGAGGCTTGAAGCACTGTGTAAAAATTTGGGTACCCAAATATGAATAGGGTTCTCTGGTCTGCACCTTTTCTAAGTTGGCTGCTAGGCGCCGGCCGAGGCGAGGTGCCATGTGGAACCGCGGCCCGGGGGCGGACTCTGCACCAAGAACTTTCTCCTCCCTAACTGTCTCCTTACTAACTGGATAAACAGCAGGCACAGCGGAGGATGGAGGGTCTGGCCACAAAACAACATCTCCGTCAGAGTCACTGTCCTCTTTACCTATGGCCTCTTTCTTGAGAGGGCCAAGGTTGGGGTAGATGTTATCAGGCGCGCTGGGCGCGGATGGTTTAATTTCTTTTTCTGGGCTTACCGGACGGTCGCTACTGAAATTGAAAGTATCCCAGACAAGCGTCCACAAACTGAAAGTATCAGCGGGCACCCGAGCGGGCCCGTTCTTGGCATAAAATTCCTGCAAATCATGTCCTATTTTGTTCCATAATTTTACGTCTACAATCCCATCTTCAGGGAACCAAGGACAAACTGTAGTTACAAAGTCTATAAATTTACAAAGCTGGTTATGATCTACTTTTACTCCTCTGGTTCGGAGAATATTTATAAGCATATTTACATACCGAGACTTTCCCGGTTTATTCCCCGTTCTTACTGGATCAGATTGCCCTCACTTCTGTTAATTGTCCATGTGGCCTTATTCTTTGGGGTCTCCTTTAGAGGGTCCTTCGTGTAATCTCTCGAACTTGAGCCCCACTTTGGGCGCCACCTATTGGATTCCAGCTCCTACTGCGGGTTACTCAAGGGAAAGGCAAGGATGAGTGATCAGGTAAGGGACACAAGCTGATGGCAAGTGACAAAGTTTGTTAAAAAGTTCCAGGCTTATATAGGGCAAATCTGCAAGTCATTGTGGTTTGGCTAGCGCATAAGTTTCCTTTTCCCCAAAATGGCTCAGGTACATTCACCAGTAAGTTTCTAGTGCTGACGTTACTGTTGCTAGGCAAATTTGGTCTCAAGGTAGTCATGAGCCTTGGAAGGCTCTGGCTTCCCACACTCCATGATTGGTCCTTCCTGATACTGGTCTGAAGTATGGGAGATGAGGTCTCTCACCATACTCACTTTCAATGAGCATTCTGGCTTCACTTCTTTCAATACAGATTTATTTATTCTTCAGGAAGTTCATGTGCTTTTAATAGTCTTCTCAAACACCATAATTCAAATGCATTGATTCATAAATCTTTCTTAATCATTGTCCAGATTTCATATGCATATGGGGCTGTTGAAAATACCATGGCATGGGTCAGGCACATCGTAGTTCTCAAACTGACATCTTTGCTCTTGAACACTTCAAGGAGGTGCAGCAGATTTACCTAATGTCACTTGATATCTTTTTTTTTTTTTTCCATTTGATTTCTTGACTGCTGTTTCCATGGATGTTGATGGTGGATACAAGCAAAATGAAATCTTTGACCACTTTCATCTTTTTTCTGTTTATCATGATGTTACTTATTGGTCCAGTGGTGAGGATTTTTGGTTTTCTTTACCTTGAGGTGCAACCTGTATAGACGGTTGCAGTCTTTGATCTTCATCAGTAAATATTTTAAGTCTTTTTCAGTTTCAGCAAGCAAGGTTGTATCATCTGCATATCACAGGTTGTTAATGAATATTCCTTCTATCCTGATGCCACATTTTTTCTTCATAAAACCCAGCTATTTGGATTGCTTGCTCAGCATACAAATGGAATAAATATGGTGAAAGGATATACCCCTGGCACACACCTTTCCTGATTTTAAACCATTCAATGTCCCCTTGTTCTCTTCTTGGTTGTGTACAGGTTCCTCATGAGCACAATTAAATGTTCTGTAATACCCATTCTCCAAACTGTTACCCATATCTTATCATGATCCACATAGTTGAAA